TAATTTTTCTCGAACTTTGTGACACATCCAAGCTATCAAATAGTGACATCGTTGTATCAAAGGTAAATGGTATCACAATATACAATTCCTAAAAAAAATCAAAGTTTTATTAAAGGGCTATGTTACGGTGCTCGCACTATAGAGTAATTTATCATTATACTCAACAAATTTGAACACTTATATACTCTTGTTTTGTATATAGAGCGTTTTTTTAGTAAGGATATTTTTGGCCATTAGGATGGGTATGACCTCATCCATATGAGGTGGGTAATGTTATACCCATGTGGATGACATCACACTCCTCCTAATTATCAAAAATACCCTTATTAAAAAAAATGCTTTAAAACGTCATACGCCTCCTAATTACCAAAAATACCGTTATTAAAAAAAATAGACGTCACACCCCTCCTAATTACAAAAAATATCCTTATTAAAAAAAATGCTTCATGTACAAAACAAGGGTAAAAGTGTCTAAAATTTATTCAGTACAATGATAAATTACTCCATAATGTGAGCACCCTAACATAACCCTTCATTAAATAATCACTAATAAATGAGTTAGAAATACAATTCAATGATTTTTATTGTTAGGTGAGGTTCGAATAAGGTGCCCACCTTATACTATACAAGTAAAGCGTGCTACTAAATTTTGTCAAAAAATTCAGTTCTTGTGTTAGAAACCTTGCACTACCTTGAAATCCATGTTCAATTCTAATTATGAAATTCAAAATTTCATAAACTGTGCAGATCGAGCAGATCTCTAAACACCTAAAAATCTTGAAAATAGACCACCGAGATAAAATTGTTACAATATGTAATATTTGTAAGACTTTAAATTCTTGTTTTCTTTATATCCATACATCTTGAGGTTGAGATGATCAATTTGAAGGTTTTTAAGATTCCTACTCGGTAGGCCCCTACCACCGAGGCCCAAATCCCCGCTAGGGAAGACCCAAATTCATTATCACTATAGAGTAGGGGCCCAAATCCCCATTGATTTACCTTTTTATTTTTTTCCTAAATTTTTATGTATAGAGAAGAGAGAAAGGAGAGTGTCTCCTAAACCATAAGAGAGAGAGAGGGGGCTACGTGGTTCTTATAAGCCTGGGGGAAGAGTCAAGACTTTCTAAACTATCAAGACCCTGGTATCTATCGTGTGGGTTTCAAGCTTGGGTGCATAGAGCTTAGAAACATTGAAAACAGCCTCTCTATTTTCTTATATCCCGAGGACAAATTGCCCTTCTTATGCACAACAAATAATTTATCAAAAGGAGGCAAATATCGTCTTGAGATAGCGTTTCAGCGTGCCCTGAAAATAAGAAGAGTTCAAGCTTTCATTTTTGCAAATTGTGTACTTTTTGCTGCCCCATTTCACCCAACAAATTTCCAACATATTTGTACAAAATATTTCTTGTGCATATCTGTAAATGTAACTACCAACATATAAAAACATGAAAACAAATTGAAGTAGCTGAACTTGTAATCTACTAGTCGATCGGCACTTAGGCCAAGACAAGTGACTCCTGGTCTGTTTAACTTTGTCCATGCCCCATGTTTGTAGGCCATTGATACCTTATCTGGCTCTGACATATCATCCGCAAATTGCTTAACATACTCTCGAATACGCATGTTGATCACAAATCCAAGCAACATAATCAACTTATAATTGACGTTTTGTGCGCATAATGCCTCTGATCGAACACCCAAGCCAAGCAAGATTATCAAATCTCAGTAACTCTTCCTTATGCTACAACTGGTCCCTCTCTCTCTCTCTGAAGCAACATTATCAACTTGCAACATATTCTCAATAATTCTTCACGCTACAACTACCTAAGGTCTCTCTCCACGTGTTTGACAAGGGAAATTAAAACTATATCGATTCTAACATACTCATATATATCGATTCTGACATAGCTATAGTCATAGAGAGAGAGTGTCACATATATCTCAGGGATATATTACCAAAAAGGAGAATGATTTCATGCAACTGTTGTATAGTAATAAAATGCAACCATTTTCAAAAATTATGTTAGAGACCTTTGTTTGACACGAATTTTTAAATGTACACTCTTTTCATTTTGAAGAACAATCACAAAAAAGAAAATTTTGAAAATATTCTCTAAACAGTTTTCATTCTAGCCCAATTAATATAAGCTGTTCATTTTATTGAGATGGTTAGATATAGGCCTTAGAAGCATTTTTTTATTCCCAAAGTTTTTATATAGAGTTATCATCATTAGATTAATATGCTAAAAAAGAAAAAAGTGATTTTGAATAGTTAAGGCTTAGATCTTGAAATTCACCAAATGGATGGTCGAGATTTATTATTGGATGGGTACTAATTTTGACCATATCTAGAAAGCAAATTGAATTTTTTTATTCATAGGATTGATTATGAGGATGAAGAGAATGTGTGTGCAAAATTTGGGGTCATACAAATGCCAAAAATATGGTTTTCTAGATGTGTGTTTGTATTATACTACTATACAACCATTGCATTGGATCATTTCCCTATGAAAAATGTAGGGTATTGGTTTGATTTAATGGGTTATTATAGAATTCATTATCACAAAACGCCAGTAGTTGACCCAGTCATTCTATTTGTTTAGTTCTCAATTGTGCCTACATATATCTATATATAGGACCTTTTCATATCCACTATCCACTATTGTTAATGGTTCTTTATGCGTTATTGCTTTTATTGAATTTTTAGACATCCAGTAATGGTTATTTGTATTGTTAATGGTTATACTTTTAATGGTTTTGTGTGTTATTGATTCATTGTTTTTAAGATGTATTATACTATTAATTGTTACTTGTCTGCTATGGGCTCTACAAAAGGAGATAATTAGGTGAATTACAAAGAAAACAACTAATGACCAAGGGTACATAGATTATGGTTTCTAGATAGAGCTAAAAAAATTACTGCATAATTTTTTCAGGTATTATTTTCAATTGACTAGCTTAACAAGTCCATGTTATAACAAAGTCACATTAAAGGTAAAATCATTGTAATTTCTTCTATTTATTGGTATCATTCCCATTTTGTGAAGATCGACAAACACATTCATCTTTAAAAGTAAGATGTTGATTGTATTTTTCGAATATTTATTTTTAGATTGTATTACTTCATGTACATTGTAGAACAAGGTTAAAACAAAGATTGGAGTCGTATCACACCAGAGAAACTTAGTATTTTCTAAGAAATATGATTATTTTATTTATACTTCATGAGCACTTACTTTGAATCAATTTGTTCATGATCCTATTCAGAGGATGTTTTCTTTGAAGTGAAAATAGTAAACAATAAAACCGGGTGTCATGGCTCAGAACCAAAAGGCCATGATAACAAAGAAGTTGTTGTGGTGTATGATGTTATAGATTTCATGTTAACATTTATGAAGATTGGCATTATAAATCTTTTATATAGGTTCCCCTTATATCTATCATGCATTATGTGTTCTCATGAAATAGTTACTCATGTATTTAATATATATTATTTGTTGTCATGCATGACCCAATTAATTATAAATTATGTCCAAAATTTATAAAAAGAACATTATGTAATAAAAAGAAATGTATATAATAGGAAATGCATACTATTTATGTGATTAATTACGGGATCGGCCACTATATTTCTATATGCACTCTCCATTGCATATGAACGAAATTATTTACAGGATATTTTAATTTCATTTTACGTGCAGCACACGTAATCCAACTAGTATCATATAATATGTACAATTCCAATAGAAAACCATATTTTATATTGGGATGAGGTTTCATTGTGTCAACCGACATGGTCCCCCTCTGAAATTTATCTTATAGATGGAATTTTTATCCAAAATTTTAAGAATTCATCATCTAAGCCAAGCTGATCATAAATAACAGTAATAATAATAACGAACTTAAAATATACTATTTTGGGATGTTTTTGGCACCGTCCATATCTAATTAGACCCCGTGCACTTTACACATCATCCATCTTAAAGATGGACATTGGAGAACCAGCTAGCTCAACGTCGTTGAGTCAGCTAGCTCAAGATGGACATTGGAGAACCAGCTAGCTCAACGTCGGAGAGTCAGCTAGCTCAACGTCGGAGAGTCAGCTAGCTCATGCACCTGCTGACTCATGGAACACTTTTACTTTATATTGTCGTTTTATATTGCTGTCTCTCCCTCTTATTCATGAACACTTTTCCTTTATGTTGTTCTCTCACTCTAAAGTGCTCCTCTTTTTACTATGAAGAGACTCTCAGTTGAGTTACTGCCACTATGTCATCGCTTGGTTGTCAATAATTTTGGAAACTCTTTTCTATTACCCATTCCAATAATCAACAGTACTCTCCTCTTTACAGTCTCTGAAAAAATTGACTCAAAACTCTATGCATTTTTAATTCTCACTAAAAATGAGCTTCCTACGTGACCCTCCGTTCTATACACCAAGCAAGCTCGGCGTGAGTGAAGGATATATGGTCAATCTCAACCCTCCACTATCGAGATGGAGCGGTGGATCCAACCTTGAGAAGTAGGGGGTTTATTATTTGCACCCATGGTTTACCCATAACACAGTGAGTAATATCAGAAAATGGAGTGACTAATATTCAACCCATGTGCATAAGTGGTTATAGTAGAATCAAATGGGCAGGAATGCTAGGTCAGCTTATTTGGGCTCTAGGGGACTTGGAAGGTTTAAACACTTGATCTCCCACCCAAATTGATATGTCTACCATTAAGCCGAAGCCCAAAGGGAACCAAAAAACCAAAACTAGGTTAGATTATTTGCGCTTTTAGAGACATACTTCAAGAGTTCAAAACTTTGACCTCCCTCACCCAAACCGATGTCTGCCGCTAAGTTGAAGGGACAATATAACGTTGGGTTTCCAAAAAACATCGGATTTCATAGTTTCAGCTGTATACAGTAATAAAGATTTAACAGCTAAATACCAATCACATTTCCAAGAACTTGTAAAAAAACCAAGAAAGCAAACAAATCACTCTGACAAAGTATGCAACTCAAAATTGTAGAGTTATACCTTGATGAGATGGAACAAATATTTACATGGCAGTTTCCAAAATAACAAAATTGCACAATTGCCAATGAACTCGGACCACCAAAAATAAAAATTTAAATTATTCACAATTGTTGATTTGCCCATTTGAAGCGTGATCCTTCAAATTATTTCATCAACCGGTGAATTGTTCCGGGGAAAGAATGTCAGTCCAATGTGGTGATCTGTGTACACAAACACGGTGACAGAATCAATTCAAAGCATATTAATACGAAATGACACTGAATTATTGAAGCGTCAATAAAACTACTATGTGTTGGATGCAATCTTAAATTAGACATGTACAATAGAAGGTTGGATGATAGAGAGAGAGAGAGAGAGAGAGAGAGAGAGTAGGGAAAAGGCCACTGAATACAAACGTGGAGTCTATCCATTATCAGAAATACATGAGGTCCCCCAGTCAGTTTGCTATAGTACAATTTGTTCTTTGTCTTTTTTTTTTTTTTTCTTTTTTTTTTTTTTTTTTTTCTAAAGTGCTGTTTGAGATACCAAAATACAATTTTATTCTGGTTGCTATTACAATTCTGACTCTCTAGAGTCTATACCCTTGATCTTCATTATTACATCTCAATTTCACTGCATTTGTCCAAGGATAGAAACAAATATCAAGTTTTTAGTACATTGGGGTCCTATCAGAAGATTATTAAATATGATATCACAAATGTTGTGGACATTGGAACCACACAAGATAATCTTTTTCCAAATTTGGTGATGTAAACCTCCTGATATTATTAAAAATTTGCCTCCCCATATTTCCTAATTTCTTCCCTAACATTTTCAAACATAACTAAATACAGATGCATAGATAAACTCGTTATAAATGATAAATATAAGGAAAAATGAAAAATGAGCGTGTGTTTGCCTGATGGAATAAGTTTCCATTTTTTTTTTGGTCTGCATGAATTAAGTAGCACTACTGCCAAGAAGCAGTTCTTTAAACCAGAATTGTTGCATATTATATATCCTTGCCAACTAGAAGCCCTTCAATCAAACACCTGTCATGAGTCAAATTAAGAGATCACCCCTTAAGGTTGAATAGCTGGCATTTAGCTTCGGAGATGTATCGACAGTCTTTCTTTTAGCAATTCGAGCTTGGGAGATCACATCCTAAAGATACTGTTATCAGTTTGACTGATACCTTCAGTTGATCATGAAAATTCTAGGATGCCCAAATATTTTTAATCTGATTCGAGGCTAGATATGGTAGAAGCATCATTAGAAATGACATATCCTATAAGAATAACAACCTTGATACCCAAATTTTTATCAAACAATGAGGCCAGTGCTGCAAAAACAGGAAAGTGTTCAGACTAAACTAGGGTGTCTATTCAAGTCCTAAATGGGTTTTTACAGTCAGACCGAAGAAGAAATATGACACAGCTGCAGCAAAATTTTGCCATGGGTCCCCATTAGAAATGTCTCTGGAAAAAACTTGAACCATTGGCCGCTTTGCCATAGGCACAAACATCTCCTCTACTCAACTATCATCCTAGAGCTTTTCCATAGGCACAGACATCTCCTCTACTCAACTGTAATCCAAGTCTTAACAGTTTCAATTAACTACCAGTCAAACTTATATTGTTGACAGATCCATCTAGTAATTTTTGAACTTATAAAGCCGAGCGCCACACAAACAAGAAATGATACTACTCCACGTATTATTGTGCAATTTAGATGCAAGAACCACATACTTGGATGGTGTTCTCACGATGTAATCTGATCCCTTTCCTGCTCTTGAATCCCTTCCCTAACAGCTTCCTACCCTAATACTCAAAATATTGGCGGGCATTCATCCACTCCCACCTCCACTCATCTTCCACTCTCTCTCCTGCTTCCTGTAACTATGCTCTAAAATAGCTTGAGATCTTCTAAGCATATATCTAGTTATGCTTCAAAACTTCGATGCATGAGGAGGTTTCATGGTTAAAGAGAAGCAGAGCAGTAAACACAAAATGGGAACTAGAAGGGGTTCATAACCATGTAAGCGGAGGAAACAAAGGTCAGATGAATATCGAAAAGAAACAACTGCAGCAAGATTTAAGAGGAAGATATCATGTAATTTTTTCCAATACTTTCAACTGGATTAGCTTATGAACCTAACAGAATGAAGTCAGGAAAGCTCCTTAACAGTCGATGATAACCATGTTTGAATAATTTTTATTATACGTTTTTTCCATTTAAGCTCAACAGACAGAACTTTCAGCACCAAGATTCTGAAAAAAGTTTTCTAACATAAGAACTGGATTAAAGAGAAAATCCTTTCAAGAAATGACACATGAAGAGGTGCTATCATTTTTGCATTCCATGGAAGCAAAGCATATTATTTCTCAGTGGTAGTATAGCCCACAGAAATAAATAGGGCAACATGAGCAGGTAGTTCAATTATTTCTTGACAAGTACCAAAACAATGCAACACACCCAAACACATGAAGAAAATGTAAACAGGATCTTTACAGTGAGACAATCAGATAGATATGATATTGAACTGGAGTAAGTGTTCTACCAATCAGAAGAAGTTGGTAGTAAACTCATTCAAGTTCATATTCACACTAAAAATTATGCAGTTTCAAATAAAGATTTGACCAACTATGAAACCATACCTTATTGCTTTTATCCACTTTAGTTTAAAGAAGCCTGATTACTCGTCATTTCCATCACAGTAGATCTTCCCTGAGACTCAGATTGTTGATCTTTTGATCTAATAAACTCTTTCAGATCTCTGAGCATACAAGACAAAGTAAAAAACTGTTATAATTGTTGTCGTTGTAATTTTAGAGAACAACAAAATTTTATTAAAGGTTGGTAACATACCTGCATCTGGGGAGATCACAACCAGATTCCCTGCAACCCCGAGCATGGGTTCCTAGGATCCGCCACATCTTCAAACAATCAAGACAACCTCCTTTTTTACGGACTTTGCATCGGCTAGAGTTAGCATGATTGCGGAAAAGTTCTTTGAATTTAACACAATTGGAATATTGGCATTGGTCAACCCTGCATCTCGCACTATGTCGAAGAAGATCCTGCTTTATTTGAGGCCAAGGAAAGAAATCATACAATCAAAGGTTGAAAACAACTATTAGGAGCCCTTTCCCATGTGTATGCATGCAGGATAATAGTGCTGTAATTTTTAATTGTCTCTCATATGTCAAACAGATATCATACAACCTAAAAGAAATATTCATCATGAGAAATTTAAATGGTACACAAATGGTCAAGGGAATATGTAATGTAATTCACTGCATTGTGGAAATGTCCATTGACTGTCCAGTACTGTACTGAAGCCGTTAACAGTAACGGAAGAGCAAGCCATGCCTTGGGTCATATCAAATTCTGATAGTGCCCTTTCAATCTCCATCACCATCCCTCACTTCAACAAATGCGGATCACCCAATTGTGGTGTGGTTTTACGATAGTTCAGTGGATTCCAGTATACTTTCTCTATGGTAAAAAAAAATTCTTCTAATCACATATTCATCGACGCATAGAACCCCAGAATGGGATCTCTCACAACTTTACAGACACGATTCAGCTTAGCGATGTATCATACCAAATGTTCGTAAGGAACATAAACATAGCCAATGAATGCTCACCTCCTTATGTCCCACTTCATTCTTGGCAACAGATAGTCGACCCTTCAGTTGATGACAGTGATTCTCACCACCATCTCTTTGGAAACATTTCTCACATATGGCGTAATCCTTGAGCGTCTCACAATGCCAGCCCTTGCCTTCCTCAATGTCAAGATTGCATATGTTGCATTTTGAGATTGAAACAGGAGCCATTGGATTGTGCAGATAGTCGAGAATCATCATGGAGGAATGCTTTGCACGGCGTAGGGTATCAAACTGAAAATGATTGTCTACACAGAAGCATAAGAAAGTTTGTTGTGTATGAAAAACATCAGATTCCAAAATCTCATCCCTATCCTTGGTGTCTAAAGGAACATCATCCACCTCAACCTGCAAGCATTTAATATATAGTTAAAGGGATTGTATACTACGAGATCATTTATCTTTGTTACAAGGAGGTCATAATTGCTACTAGCAATTAGATGTTAAATTGGATGGCTGTGTGCGTCACAAAGTGTGAGAAATAGTTTTTGAACTTTGAGTCTAGTCAATGATAAGTTCACAACCACCTGATTTGAAATCTGAGACACAAGAGTGATTGTGACCTCCTTGTCTCAAAAGTAAATAGTCTCTTTGTATAATTTTCCTAGTTAAAAAGCATGGCAACAAAAAAAGCTAACTGATGTAGCAGTAAAAACATTTTAGGAAGGATAACTACAATCCAATAGAAAGGAAACTATAAATTAACATACTGCAGGAAAATCATTATCCATTGGAATATCACCATCCAATGATATGATCAACTGATGGAGAAAAAGTGTGGTTTCCATGTCATGCTCGAGTGAATCCCACTCTATCTCCATCAACGCCCATCTTTTTCAATGGTCCCCGATGACCCAATGGACTATGATTTTCCCGTAGTCCATATGATTATAGTTACAACATAAATACAACAGTTGAAACGCATAGAAGGCAGTCCATGTATGCTGAAATTTAAATGTGATTGTCTGTGTCTAAATGTTCGACTTACCAGAGAAAGGGCATGTGCCCCCCTTTTGTTACTAGGATGACGATCCTTTTCAGCAAGTTTTCTTTCAGCATCATAACAACTTTAAGAGAAACATCAAAGCAGTTAACATTTTTCGTAATTTAAAAGTCAAAAACAAAATTTAAATTGAAATATATAATGCATAATGCAAAAGATAAGCTCAATATAAGTTCTTCAAAATAACCAATTTGGTTCTTCAAAATAACCAATTTGGTACATTTTTGCAATATCTGGACTACAATATTTATTTTTGCATAAATGGATATGTACCTAAGCAGAAGATAGGTTAGTCCTTTTTTTTTATTATTATTATTAGGTTAGTCCTTCTTCACTGTGTGTAACACTCCATCTCCCAAGAACCCAAAAAAAAAAATCTCCATGTGATTTGGAGGTGATACAATTTAAATTCTGCTGCATCCACACTTTCCCTGGTGCTCATACTCCCACTTCCACCTCAAAATTGGTTTCTAAATTTCAGTCATCTCAGAACCATCAGAGTATTTTATATGATTTTCCAAAGAATACTAAGAATCACCTTTTCATTTAAAGGTCCAAATAAAACACCAAAGAAGTTCATTCAGTTTAGGCCTCTTCTGAGGCTTTTGTTTCTAGTTTAATAAAAACTTACGTGATATGATTTTCAAGTATTGTGAGAATTTAGCTTAATAGTAACATTTGAAACCATTGGGAAAAAGTCAATTAAATCATTGTTTGTGAAAATTCATTCACTAAATCAAGATCAGTTAGAAATAAGCACTTACTTCTCACAAAGACAAATATTTTTGCACGGGTTGCAGACCCAGAGCTTCCCAGATAGTACAAATTGACCACAGTGGGTGCACGCACACTGCATGTGGATCAAGATGAAATCACTCCTAGTTTTACAAATGGAGACTCCAAGCTGACAAAGGAAAAAACAGTGTAAATTCATATAAGACGAATAAGATGAACAAAGAAAGAAACACATAAATTACCAGGTGTTAAAGATCCTCAAAAAGATGAGAAATGCAACTGATCAATAATGATATTTTTATTCAAAAGCGGCATCTAAGGTCAAGCATGTCTTTTTGGTAAATTGGTCAAACATGTTCATGTATAACAATTTAACAATTTGAGTAGCAAAAAAAATTAGAATTTGAAAGATACAGGTAAAAGAAAACTGGTTCGTACTTTCTGCATAACTAGCGCTTCCTTTGAAGCATCATTTGCAACTGCAGCTTGTGTTTGAGTTTCTGGAGCCACTTTTGAAGTTGGTCTTTTTCCACTCTTTCGTAGTCTTTTACTATCTTCTTCTTTAAGAATATTAGCAATAATATACTCTGCCTCTCTAGTAAAGTAATCGCCCTCAAAATATGGCACACGGCTCATGGTCACCTTCGCCTTCTTTTCACCAGAACACAAAAAGAATTGCTCATACATATTTGTATTCTCCACCACAATATTGTCATTTGTGGCCTTCAATATCATGTCAAGATACCTAACAAAGAAATAAGCAATTATCCTCCAGTTCATTGTAGGCTTCATTCCAAGACAGAGGACTTTAACCTCAAGAAATTGGAACGTCTAGTAAGCAACTAAGCGTTTAAAGGAATGACTGCATTAGATGCACATAAGAATACACAAGCTCAAAAAAGCACATTGGCGTGGAGGCGTGTGCTTTAGATTGCGCACACGCATGCATGCGCACGAACACACACACACACACACACACACAGGGGGAGAGAGAGAGAGAGCTGACCACTGACGTAGCCTATCCAACTTCGGTGACTTTTGTATCTCTGGGTGACAATACAGGATATAATCATCGCCTTTCCGAGGAGGGCAGGCCCATATAGAACAGCTCACAAAACCTCTACTTTTGCAGTACTCAAGATATCCAACCTGACAAAAGAAAATAAATCATTTCCAACTTCCACGGATCACTGAAACAATTGCCCACTACAAAACCATATCTACCCAAGCTGAAATATTTTAACAAGGCGGCATCACATATTTAACGTTAGGAACAAAACCATGAGGCGTAATAACTTCAAAAGAAAATGGGATGAACAACCATACTGGGTGGGGACTGGTACCAATATATACCAATATACACCAATATATTAGATATCAAATGGGACATAGAATGATATTTTTCCAAAATGATATAACTGGTTATATATGGAATATATAGGATACAACAGAAATGACATAGCACCTGTCTGCTATATCTCATTTTTAAATATTCAGCAGATTTCAAAAAATAACAGAAATATAGCAGATATTTGGATGATATTTTCTAGAAATAGTGAAATAAAGGGAGTTATACTGGGAAAATTACAATTTTTCATTAAAGATTAAACCCAATATATTGGCCTTTACACTGATATAAATCACCCAATACATAAGCAGAAATCAGGAATATATGACCATTTTTCCCAGTATTGACCTAGGCCCCATAACAATATCAAGACAGGCATGGTCTAGGGCCACTATATCAGCTGCTATATCTGATTTGATAACGAAGTTTTTTTAACCATGAATGCAATGCGTGATTCAGGATTGGAAGACATCATATTAGCGGATGACACAATGAACAAAAAGAAAGGAAACAAAGGAACAGCATGAAGAGATATGAGATCCTCACCAAAATTTCTTGATACACGAAAGTACGAAGAGGCTCCTCTGTAGTAGCCTTAATATTAGGCTGGAAGTACTTGACAGAGTCAAGGTATGAAATACAGACACGACGATTATTTGGATACGGACATTCTGAACCATATTCTTGGACATAGACACAAAAGAGGCAAACATCTATGCTTTCAATTTTTTGAAACAACAATATGACCTGCAAAAATCATCAAGAAAGCCAGGTCAGGAATATGATCAAGCAAACAGAAAACATCAAGCCAAGACTTCTTTCAACATGCCTAAAAACTGATGGCATGAGCATCATGCCTGGCTCCCTAATTTTTTATTTTGGAAATGTTTCGAACCTTTGACTTGTATGGAAATTCAGTTGGGTAACTATTATCTTTAATGATCTCCAGAAATTGTTGGTTCACTTGCAATTTCTTGTCAACGGAGGAGACAACTCTAATTACAAGATCTTCTGCCCCTGGAACCTGAAACCAATTTGATCATCATTAAAATGCATGTAAGTTGCAAGTTGAACACTCCATTCCTCCATGAAACAAGAGCCACAATTTTACAGTATGCCAAACATTTAACAGTGCATGCAGATGGTTAGAACTCGCATCATCATATGGAAGGAAACACCATCAGCAACAACTAAGCCATATTAAAAACAAATGGTTTGAGAAACAGAATTCAAAGAGGGACGGTAAGTTGCAAAACATGGTCTGCAAGGCTTGAACCCAATTTCTAGCAGCTCCAATTTCCTGCAGCTCATTGCTTAAATAGGAACATCTCATGCATACCATTGCTACTATATCACCCACAGGGTGACCTCTTTATCCCACTTCTGTTCGCTGTCACAGGGAATCCATAGTTACCAGGATCTCCCAACCAAGGGGTTGATGCAGCTCTGGAAAGTGCTCTTGCACTCCAGAGAGGACGATGTTGCTCCTCTACAATTTTTAGTCTCCGAGAGCTTGATCCTTCCTGTTAGAGATCTAGATCCTCAGTTACACAGTATCCAAGTTCCTTTGCATCATACTTGTGGGTCCAAAGGTAAACTAAATCGAAGTTCCACAAACATGTGATCAAGATTCCTTTAGTAATAGGCTCTACTGTCCCTCTTGCCCTCTTTAATACGTCACAAGTTCAGACCTTGAGTTTCAATTTAATGCTAAGCAACGGCTTAATGCTAAGCAACGGCTATTTGCGGTAACCACTTAAACACTTTTAAGTAATATATAATATATCGATTGCATGTTTTGTTCACATACATAATTTCTGGTGGTAGTAGACCATACAGTCCTTTTTGGTTGGGCTCTTTAACATGTCAAAAGTTACATCGCGCTTCAACTTAGTACACTTATCTTAATATTTTCTTTATTCAAAAAAGACGGATAGCTGTGATTGTTATTGCGTAAAGTCATTAAAAAATCATTCAGAATGTAAAAAGTAAAACATTATATAATGATCTGATTTTCCTAATTTTTCTACAAAGTTCCAAATTTTCAGTTCCTTTGATTTTTCATTACTTAATTAAAATGTAAATTACACTCAAAAGAGTACAAAAAATAGAATGATTGGACTTCTTACATTAGAAAAATAATAATATGAATCTTTAAAAACTTCATTAATTATTTATAAGATTATACAGACAGAATTCCCGATCTAGAAGCCTAGTTATGTGTACTCAAAGACCTTGATTTTCAACCAGATGGAGCCTGATCTTGTAGAACTTATCATCTGAACCCCAGAAGTTCGGATCAAGCTCCCAAATGCACTGGATCTCGATCCCTAAATTTTGGGGTGTACAAAAAGTGATCCCGAACCTAGGGACCTAGGCTTTCACGATCCCTCGCTCCCAATCCAATCTCAGAATCCGTCCCTATCCCAATCATACTAACGATTAGGGAGTTGACTCGGTGAGACTCAGCCGACTCTTAAGAGAACTGGCTAAATCTCATTGGAACTTTTTGGACTTGGTATGTGTGTGAGACATCACACTCCAAGTTTCAAAACAGTGAAAGCATCAACACCTAGATTACCCGAAGTTCCATTCCCTACCAATTGATACAAATGTCAGCTCACTGCATATTTGCTTTTTTATATCATGTTTTAATCCTAGAGGCTTTGGAAACATGTTTATTCTAAGGCGCCCAAGTGGAACACCAAGTTAGTGATGTGAAACATGACTTGCAAGGTTCTAAAAGGAATTAAAATACAACACGAAACTTTTATCCCAAAAAGAAATGTTTCGGCATACCAGATTTGTTTAAGATAAAGTAACATTTATTCAACTTATAAATTTCAGTCATTCCATTTTCTTCATATAGCAATACGATCCAAAAAAGAAAGGGCGAAAAACAAAAACAAAAAAAAAGGCACAAATTTCTACATGTTTTCTATAATTTCCCATTCTAAAGGTGAAGATAGAAAAACCAACTCCCAAAATCTGGACTTTAGAGTGCCCGTAAGTTGTATTACTCCAACTCCAAGTTATAGGGGAGGGGTATTAGAGCCAATTTCACTCCACCAGCAAATGAAGTCTGAATTTCAAATGAGGTTCTCTAGCCCATGTCCCTCTCCTAATGTCTAGGAGGGGGTTTAAATTTCAATTAAATTGCATTGCATAAAAATTGGAGTGCCATATTGAGGGCATTTTGTGGTCAAGATTTAGCGAGTAGGGTTGTCTAACATCACCATTAGATTGGTATACTTGGAAAAAAAACCCTTTAAAAATGTTAATAAATCATTCCAGATTATATAATGAAGTAAAAGAGAAGCCTTTCTTCTCCCACGGACCTATAAAATCATTAGATAATAACAGTCAAACAACCAAAAGAATCAGCTTAACTTAAAGCATCAACCTGAAAAATAAAACAGAAATCCATCGCTATTTTAAACTTCTTCTCCATACCTAGGATAGAGATGTTGTCTATAAAATCATTTGATAGTAAAAGTCACGCAACCAAAAGAATCAGCTTAAATTAAAGTGTCAACATGAAAACGAAACAGAACATCTTGTTGCTTAAAGCTTCTTCTCCATACCTAGGATAGAGATGCTATATCATCTTGTGAATTCGCAATACTAAATAAAATGAGCATCCAATGCATGGATATGAGAGTACGTCTCCATTTAGCGACCTTCATCTATCCTATTATAGCATTATTTAAATACCAAGAGATCTGAAGAATTCATGCCCAAATTTGTACCATAAAATAAGTAACAAGATAAACCTTCCATTCCCTGAACATAGAGTCATTCAAGGAAAAATGTCAACAAACCATGATCGTTTCAATTTGTCCACTACACATACACAAGCACACAAGAGCCAAAAGAAATTGGAGGATAATTTGAGAAAAAAGACCCTTTATAGAGTAGTTACCTTACCTCATCAAAATTCTTGCCCAATATTCTTGCTCTCTCTTCTCTCTCCCACTTAAGCCGCCTAAACAGCCTTTGCTCCAAGTGATCACTAAGGATTGTTGTCGGCAAATCTTTTGCACTGCGAAGAGTACTTTGAGGTAAAGGTTTTCTCTCACCTCCCTCGACTTGCTTCAAGTAGCAGTAAGGACAGGTGTATTCGGCTTGCCGTGAATCATTTTTTCTCTTATTAAAAAGGGCACATATCTGATGGTTCCAGGATTTACATCCATCGCACTGAACCCACTGCAATGAAGCATCACACGAAAGTAAGGGGAAAATATCCACAGATGAAAATTATGTCATATCCAATTCTAAAAAGATTAAAACCAACCTCTTCATCAATTTCACAAACATTATTTTTCTTATCAAGACTTGACTTGGGAACCTTGCATCCCTCAACTTCAATACACTCTCCACGTGCTCCATGGAAGCATTTGGGACAAAAATAAGACGGTTTCTTCCCCTTGCTCGTGGTATAATATATAGCATCTCTCTTGACATGAAGTCCACATAGATTGCAATACACATCAGGTGCAAAAGAGAGCTTCCCCATACAACACAACTGGCAAGAACTTTGATTTGAAGAACTCTGCATTGCTTGACATTGTTCTGCCTTTGCTTTCGTCTTGATATATTGAAAACACGAAAAGTTATTGAATCTCATAATAATAACTGACATAAGGACATTTTGAAGGAAAACTACGATGAAATAACTACCATTGCATAAAAAAGAATCAAAGTCACATGTTACAGTTGAAGAGGTTATGAGGACATTTTGAGGGAAAACTAAGATGAAATAACTACCATTGCAGATAAAAAAAAATCAAAGTCACATGTTACAGTTGAAGAGGTTATGAGATAAATTTATTTAAAGCATCATAGAACGGCTACTATGTTATGGAATGAAAAAATCCAAAGAATTAGCACAGAAAACTTCTCAACAAGAAAAGCATGACTAAAATGCCAAATGTCTAAAATTATAGAAAGGCTACCAATATTTATCCCAATACGCCACTATCTACCAAAAAGAACCACAACCCTTGTGGATTGGCAGGATAAATGCAGATACATCTTGTTCACACCTCATTTTCATAACATGGGCCCCAATTACCTAGGTATCTATGAAGAAAGAGTTAAAGGCCAACAGATCAACTAATCCATTCCCCATTAATGAAATTAAGAAATGTTTTGACTGTAAAGAAATAGGCATATCATCTACATGCATATTGCTATACATTTAAACTGTACACAGATTAATTAAACTAAGTTACCAATCGAGAAAAAAGAAAATAAAAAATGCCAACTAGGAAAAGAGGAAAGTACAATAGAACTTGCAAAATATTAATGTGCCCATTCAAAGAAACCCACAAAGAATTTAGACAAAGACATGTTTAAATGAAGAGAAGTACAAGAGTTCGCCAGGATAATTTAAATTCGAGGGAAGGCCCTTCTATCTCAGTCCCAAATGGAAAAAAGCCCTTGATGACAGAAGATTGCACTTACGATTGCCTTTCATTGGTTCATTGTTGTCTCAAAACTCTCATCATTTACCCACAGCACACTTTTTTTTGGGAGAAGTTAACGTTTGTATTAAGTAAAGAAGTAGTTACAGAATAAGTCCAAAAAATGGCAACCCAAAAGTCGGGTGCTACATACATCACAACAATGAGACACGCACTTAGGTGCTCTGGACAATTGGAGAATGGGAAGGTGGACCTAACAAACAAAAAGAGATACTAAGATGAGTGGAACCCAGCTCAAAAAGTTGCCAAAACAGTTCCATTTGCAATGCGCTCAGGAGCTCCTTCTTTGGGGAATCAATCAGCTGCTGAGTTTGCCTTCCACCACGTCTTCTGAAATGAGGGGAAATGAGAATTAAATATGCCTCCATAGATCAAATATTTGATCAAAAATGTGTTCGAGATGTCAAGGGCAAATAGACCGTATGTCCAAGAAATGACATTTTTTGAGTCACCCTCTATCACTAAAGATGTACCCCAATTCTGACTAGATCTTTTGATGCCCTCTAAAAGGGCCACAGTTTCAGCCATAGTGGCATCAAAGTGCGCAATGAGACCGGAGTAGTATGTGATGATGTCCCCAGCATGGTCGATGAAAAGACCCCCATAAACAGCAAGTCCCGGGTTGCCAAGTGAGCAACCGTCAAAATTTAATTTGATTTGTCCATATTCCAGTGGTCTCCAAAGGAACAACCGTGAAATTTGTGGTGTCCTTGCTTGAAACATTGATACCGATTATTGAGGAAGTCTGTGGTAGTGTGGAATTTGAAAGATTTCCATAGCTTTGATGTGATCTTTAAGCTCCTCCTTCCAAAATTCTAGTGTTTCTTTCAGTCCATAGTGCCCAAATACTTGCTGCTAGCACAGCCCTCCAAAGGGGATGGCCTGCAGCTGCAAATGGAGGTAAGAAGTAGGCCTTGAATAGATGAGGGATGATTGGGTAGGACTCAAGGATGCAGAAATAATTGCAGCAGGTCAGCCCACAGGGACCCAGCCACTTCGCAGTGGAGGAAAAGATGATTGTTTGTTTCCTCGTCATTTTACACATGATGCATCAATTTGTCTTTGTATCTGGTCCACGGTGACTGCTCCTTTCGAGACGGCAATCCAACTGAAAGTTTGAATTTGGAGAGGGATAGGTTTCAGCCATGTTGTTTTGGCAAGGTTACATGATGGAGGTTGCACCCCCCCCCCCCAAGGTGGAGGGTGAGGGGGGTGAGTTTAGTATGCCATATAAGAATGACACAGTGAAAGTACCGGAATGGAGATGGCATCCTATTGATTTTGTCATGGACCCTACAGGTAGGTAAGTGGCTTGCAAGAGGGATAACAGGGCTGCAAACTCGACTTACTCTTGTTCCAACAAACCCCTCATGACACTCTTGAGTCGCACAATAATTCAAAGATTGAGCCACTGTATCTTCTTGGTTTGTGGTCAAGTGAAAAGGTGATTGTAAGGGACTACAAAGGGGGAAGTCCTCAATCCAAAGGTCATTCTAAAGCTAACCCAGTCACCACTTCTTGATCTAAGTGAAATGTTTTTCTTAAACTGGTTACGGCTGGCCCAAAATGAGTGCCATGCACTCGAGAATATTGCACTTGGTTGCCACTTGGTAACCAAGCTGATGATGTCGGCACTTCTGCGTAACAACTCTTAGCAACAAGTGTTGGTGTAACCATTTAAGGAGAAGGCATGTGTTGCATTGCCTCAAATTTCAAATGCCTAGACCCCCCTGCGATTTGGGAAGGGAAATAGTTTCCCAGATACATGGTGGAATTTGCAACTCTCCCCCCCGCCAGACCAAAAATAAATAAATAAATATCCCCCATTAGTCTTTATAATCACGTTGATGGAGGCCGGCATCTGGAAGAGGGACATTTGGCAGATAGGGGCATTTGAAAGGGTACCCTTGATTAGGACAATACAGCCAGCCAATAAGAAAAACCTTCCTTTCCAGGTCGCTATTTTCGAGTTGAACCTTTCCACTACTGGACTTTGCCAATGCAAAGTGGTAGGCCTAGGTGCTTTGTGGGTAAGGGTTCCACTCCAAAACCCAATCTTTTGGCGAGGGCTTGGGTCATTTTATAGTTTGACTAATGTTTCGTCTAGCAAAGTCCAATTAAAATGGTCATAGGCTTTCTTCCAGTCTAATTTGATCACAAACCCTAGGATCTTGGGTAGGTGCCTTGAATGGATGCATTCGTGGGCCACGAGTGCCATCGAGGATCTGTTTTTTGTCCTTGAAAAAGGCCCCTTGGTTCGGGCAAATGACCCTCTTCCAGTCTAATTTGACCACAAACCCTAAGATCTTGTGTAGGTGTCTTGAATGGATGCATTTGTGGGCCACGAGTGCCTGTCTAGGATCTGTTTTTTGTCCTTGAAAAAGGCCTCTTGGTTCAGGCCTAAGAGAGGAGTTTATGGGAGCTATTAAGGAGGCTTATTGGTCAGAAATCTTTTAGTTCCTTGGCGCTACTTTGGCGAAGCATACTTCTTGGATCTGAATGGAACAGGCAGGTAAAAACCAATATGGAGAGAGGTGGATGACCCAGGAGACCACTCACAGTTCCTTTGATGCCTTAATATCCATCTCAAGCATTGTGGACATGAGGCTATTATGGCTACCACTAGAAGGCCTATGCCGCTATGCCCATTATCAACCAGTAGCCAATGGCGAAGGAGCATGTGTTTTCTCAAGACACTTAAAATAACCACATTGGAATCAGGCTCATGCAAAGAGACAATGGGTCAGCACAAAACCAAATACCATAGTGACCTTAGCCATTCAAAAGGATCTCCGCAACCAAAACAACAGGAACAGTTCATGATATGATTTTATTTTACTTATATGCATTCTTATGGTCTTCTAATATTCATGAATTATCCTTCAACTACAACCATTTTGTAGTTTTCGCACAGATGTACCCCACACATTACCACAAAAATTTTATTACAAGATCTACTCAAGTTCTCTATGACGAGTTATGTTGTGGCCAAGTCACCAAGTTGTCATAATGTAAAGGAAGACCATTTCAGATCTGAATGATATGGTTTTCAAGTAACATGACAACAACAATGATTCCGTCCAAGTGGAATAATCTCAAGTTCCTACCACCTCCATTCAATTACTCATGAAAGAATAAGGAGATGCCCAAAAACTGATACACAATAATTAATTAGCAAAAGGAAAAGCAAACCAAATCTCTGTAGAACTATACTTCCGTATTAGGACACCAATCCTGTAAGCAAACCACCAGAAATAAAGGCGTTAAGGGTGACCTCTACAATTTGGAGAGGAACACCTTCAGAAACCTGAAGCGAAGAGAAGAGTGAAGCTACTTCCTCAACAAGGAAAATTTTAAAGAGGTGAATCACATTTATGACCATATTCTAGAAAGTCAGCAACTTAGAAGTGCCACATCAAGCATGTTGAAGAATGCAATTAAACAATAAATGTGGTGTAATGTTCTAGGGGACCATGCAGGATTTGCTTTTACTAGGCTATTCAAACTTCAAATAATTCAAACTAGACCATTGTATGATGGACAATGGTGCCACCAAGAGGATCCCACCAGCATTTTATATACAGTGTTCAAGACTGAATAATCCCGAAAAGTATATATTGCTTTATAAAAGACAAAGTAAACACCTCGAGGATATTCAAAATCAACTCTCTTCAGATATTAAATTAAATAGCCCTTTAAATCTTTAACTATCTTGACAATCTTATATACTCGATCGTATGCACCATTAAAATGTGGTAGAATACCTCATCCACTAAGAGAAAAAGAAAATTCACAACTGGTGGCAGAATCTTTAGGACAAACAAATGACATGTAACACAATCTTATATACTCAATCATATGCACCATAAAAATGTGGTAGAACACCTCATCCACAAAGAGAAAAAGAAAATTCACAACTGATGGCAGATTCTTTAGGACAAACAAATGACATGTAACAAAGTTTGCAATTCAATAGAGAAACGTGTAAAGCTTACTGTTACAATCAGCATAAAGAACGACAATGTCATATACCCCAACGCAAAAGATATTTCAGAATATTAAGTCCTACAGGAAACATACTGTCTGCATTCCTTCCCATAACAAAGATATCAAGAAGCATGGAAACTAGATGGACATGACTTGAGAAAGTAGACTACTAACCAGACCAATAAACTGTCTGAGAGCTTTGATATGAATCCTAATTTGCTCTTGGGTGAAATACTCAAGCAAAGAAGCACCTCTTATCTTTTGCTTCCCTTGTGCAGTTCCTTCTTCATGAACAGCTCGTAAGACAAGAGATTTCTGGTTCACTTCCATCCTGCATTTGTCGACCTCAGTGCAATCTTCATTGGTGACTTGGGATGCTAATTCACCTGAGGAAGTGAAAGAAACACCACCTTTCATCTGAGAAGTGTGCTCCAGACCATTTTCCATTTTGCTCCCAGGATTCTCATGAGAAAAAGTCAATGAACTTCCCATCTTCATAGATGTATCCTCATCTTGATCAACAACAGGCTCTTTGACTTGACCACTTGCTTTTACTTGCCCTAGATCACAAACCTCTGATGTTGGGGTTAAAGGTTCTAACGAAATATATTTTGTTGAGGAGTGCTCGACCTTCATTCTTTTCATTGGAGACTGCAGATCCTCTGGAAGCTGAAAGCTCGGAATCTTGTGACCATGCCATGTGGGATCTATTCCATTTTCCATTTGGCTCCCTGGATTTCCATTAGCAGAAGTCAAGGAACTATCCACAAGTCCTACAAAAGCAGGCTCACCAATTTGAACACTGGGTTTTTCTTGCTCAGGATCTGACACGGGCTCTGGCAAGTATTGGGCTGTTGAAGAATGCACCCTATTTCTTTTTAGTGGATATTGCACATCCCCCAAAGGCTCAGATTTTATATTCTGTTTACTGCTCCTTGTGATATCCACCTTCCGAGAATTTGATGGCAGGTTGAAAGATGCCTTATGTAGAAATGTAACCCGGCGAACACAACCACAAATAAGACAAGCTTGGTCACTACAGCAACAATAGTGCCCCCACAATTTCCTCAGTGGCTGGCAAAGTAGAAGTGGACATTGAACTCCTTTGCAACTAGAAATGTGCATCCAAATCTTTTGAGCATTCCCACAATGACAATAGGAGCATTGGCTTGCTGAAGCTGAGCATTTGTTGCCATGGTGCAAGAAAACCAGCCATTCAACATTTACGCATTTCCATTCTTCATTATCGCACTTTTCGAGGGCGTGGGTCCGAGAAGAAGAAGCTTTTGACAGGTGGCATTTCATTGAACCAGTAAATTGCACATTCAGAGGTCCCCCATTCGAAGGAACAGATTTTTTAGAAACATCTTCACTGCCATGCTGCGTCATCACTGCAGATTGTGACTGATAGGTGCCCATGCATATACCGTTCATATGCATCTCCAATACTCCCTGCTTTGGTGCTCCTCTCTGCAATTCAGCAGTTGAAACACAGAGATGGTTTGCAGGATGTAGACTTATTTTATTCTGTGACAGCAATGTTTGTCTTTCATTTGGCATAAACTGGTGATCCATTGAGTGACACGCATTACTGGGATCATTTTCAAAATGGTTTTGCTGATAGCTAGATGGGCTCTGAGAAATCAAATGCTGTTGGGGAAACTGATTCTGGAAAGCTCCATGGCACAATTTTTCCCCTGATTCAGGCAATTCAGGCCCAGAGGAGTTTGAAGCCCTTGGATTCTGGCTTGGAACATCAATTTTAAACCATTTTAGACTTTGATCCTTCAGATGAGTCTGATGTTGAAGGAGCTGTGAATTTGATGAGTTCAAATTCATACACGATGGTTCCTTGAAAACCCCTGAACCTGAATGCCTACCTTCAAATGGAAACTGAGAAGCTTGTTGATTGGTTTGCTCCTCAGAGACAAGTCTAAATCTTGAATACGACGCTTCCCTCTTTGAATTCATCATGCTCCCCCTTGTACAGTTTGAAGGCACAGTTGATTTATATAAATTTTCATAATTGGAGAAGCCACTAGCATTTAGAACATGTGATAACCCTATATTGTAAAATACAATGTTATAAACACCATAAATCCACTGTTTTTACAGACTTTATAAAATATGAACAGTTAAAATACAAAGGAACAAAGGGAAAAGAGGAAACTTACTGCCCATTTGTTGTCGATCTTGTTGACCAATTTGTGGCCTCACTTCTGATGAACTGAGATGCTGAAAAGCATTCAAATACCCATTAGGAATTCCACTGCCATTTGATGTCAGTAAGTTGACTTCTTGATTCATCTTTACAACAAAGTCAGACCTTCCCATGGAGAATCCCCCATTGAAGTCCTCCCCATTATCAAGACAGCCCAACTGAAGCGGTCGGAAAAAAGGCTGGGCTTCTATTCCATTATCAGGAGCATTCATGCCACTTGACTCTTGTTTGCTCCATCCTGGAGCATGAATTCTTCTGCTTTCACTGCTATCCAGAGCCACTGTTGTGCTGCGATTCAAATAACCAACAGAACCATCCAAGAAATCTTTTGGAAATATGCTATCCTGTAAACCTGCAACATGGGGTTCCCTTACAAATCTCAAGAAAAAGATAATTCAATAAAATGAAAAGCATCATTATAAAAAAAAAGAATGAGATATTTCAGGACCAAGCTAGTTTCAAATAACCCTGCAATTGAGGATTCTTTAGTAGTATCGGTTAAAAGAAAATTAACATAAAAAATGAAAGAACTCAAAGTAACCATCTAAGAAAAACTTGGGGGAAACATGCTAATTTCAAGGAACACTGCAATGAAGGGATCCGGTTCCTTAAAAAATCAAAGGGGAGAACAAATTCAAGAAACTAAAAAGAACAGATGGAACAATCCAACAAATATTCTGAAGCATGCTAATTTCAAGTAAACCTGCAACGAGGCATACCACATAAAATTCAGATTGATGGGAATACTAGAAAATGAAATGAACCAAGGAAACCATTAAATAAATGTTTTAGAAACATCCTCCAGGTACTGTGAGGGGTGTTCATTGGACATATCACATTAAGAAAATTGTGAAAAAAAAAAAGGGACCAGATGATGAGCACAGCACACCAAGTAAGCATGAGTATCGTCTTTGGGAGCAAGAGATTCCTCCTAATTCCTGCTCATATTTGGCAGATGGAAACCTTAGGAGGGTAGGCGGGTTTCTAGGAAGAAGAAGAAAAAGAGTAAGAAATAGTTGAAACTTTGAATAGCTTGTTTTTTTTAATGTTTTAGGGCTATATATATATATATATATATATAATAGTATATAGTAAGAAATAGTATTATACGTACGTACCTACGTACGTACTATAGTAGTAACGATAGTAG